CCACCAGCCACTCCTCGGAAGGAAGGTTGGGCAATCCTACTTCCGTAGTGATACTGCCTCGGAAACCCAAGGAGGGGTAGCTATGAGTTGGGGCCGACTCGACGGCAAATAACAACAACAACAGCTCCTGTGCCCACTATGTTTTAGGAAGGAGGCTTAACCAAAGGGAGGAATATGGGCTTATGTATTTATGGCAGTCTCTTCAGTAATGCTAATGCTTAAGAACCACAGGAAAGACCAGTGTAGTCTCTCTGGTGTTTAATACTCTTCTGATCCTCCCTCCTTTTGTTATACACTCCTCAATTTATATCTTTCTCAGTTCTCATCTCAGCCTTACAGGGTTGCTGAGATTGGTTCTCAGAGGGTCATGTGATATATTTGGCACTGTGCCTAGCCTATCAACAGTTACCGTTACTGTGATTTGGCAGATTTTCGTCCATGTCATTAGGTCTAATATTAGAAAGGATGGCAGTGGAATGGGCTACCTGAAAGATAATTCCTCTCCCCTTTGGTGGAATTGATTAAACCAGATGGCCAACTGGAGAGAGAATTTATACACTTGTTTGGAGGTTTCATTCAGTTGTAAGACCTTAGGATTTTCTTGACTAGACTTATGAGTTGATAGCCTAATTATCATAGTTATTGATATTTTAGTATGCAAGTATATTTGACACACCAGAAAAAATGTCACAGAAATGAAAAGGTATGTATATGATTGCTTTCAGAATGGGCTATGGATTAGCAGTGTGATTTTAAGTAGTAGAGTGGGTTCATTATAATTAATAGAAAGCCAACTATGTAACTATTTATCTATAACACTAGTTGATAACTATTTTAAAAAGCTGACATAAACAATAGCCTTTGGTGTTTAGAAGGAGCTCGGTAGCACAGTGCCTAAGGCATCTCTTTGTTAGCCAGAAGGTTGGTGGTTCAAACCCACCAGCTACTCTGTGGAAGGAAGACTGGGCAATCTACTTCCATAAAGATTTACTGTCTCAAAAACGCATGGGGGTCACTATGAGTTGGAATTGACTTGATGGCAGTGGCTTTAGTTAGTTGGTATTTAGGCTATAAACAAAATTATGGGAAAAATATTTACATGCACATGTCCATACACACACAGAGACATAAAACTATACACATGTAATTCATTGACTTCTTCAGAGGTTAAATTCTGGTAAGTTAACTGGGAGCTGGCCCTCTTCTCTTTGAAATTATGCTGTGCAATTTCCACATCAATGTGTAACTTTTTTAAAAGAATTTAAAGACTTTAAAGTTCCTAAAATTTGAAGTTTCTGGAGTGCATAGCTCCACACACAATGATCTACCTCCTTGTTATCAGGTGTTGCTAGGTAAGGGCCAGTAAACTTGCCAATAGCCACATACTCTTTTTCTGAATACTGTACCACACAGTTGGCCTCTCTGTTAGATAGTGGACTATTAATTACAGTTGATTCTCATTATTCGTGTATGTAGTTTGTTCTATAAACTCCATGAACAGTGAGTTAGGGGACCAAACGGGTCTCATGCATTGAGCTACTCAAACTTTTTGCTACTCGTGCATGCATATGTCTGTAAATGAACATGAAAGCACCACAGGTATTGATTTTGGGGTTACAGATAAATTTTAGTGAATAGAGCATTTGGCAAATATGAAATAATGAGGATGGACTGTATATTCTTTTTCTACCATATTATAACTATGAGTTGGAGGGATTTATATGATTGAATTATTATCTGACACCCTCCTATTCTTTGTTTTGATTTATTTATTCCTCATTATGATGAAACTTACTTACCACCTTCAGCTTTGGTGTTTTATCTGTTATGAATCCCATTTTTCTTGTGTGATGTTTTTACCGTAGGTTCTAAGGCCTTGGAATATTCCAATGGGATTTTTGATTGCCAGTCTCCCACTTCCCCATTCATGGGAAGTTTGAGAGCGCTGCACCTTGTGGAAGACCTGCGTGGATTATTGGAAATGATGGAGACAGATGAGAAAGAAGGCTTGAGATGCCAGATCCCAGACTCAACCGCAGAAACATTGATTGAATGGCTTCAGAGTCAAATGGTAGGTGTCTCTGCGTGTTAAAAATCCCATGCTACGAATCTTTTGTTATTTGTTTTTAAATTTAGAGGGTGAAATAGCTACTTAGAACAAGAAAAAGAAATATGGCAATAGCTTTACTTTACTTTTATTCCTTAAGTGATCCCAGTTCCCTTTCACTCTAAGGATAATTTTTAAAAAGTGTTCTAAAAAAACCAATCTCAATGCCATTGAGTCAATTCCAACTCATAGCAACCCCCCTTGGGTTTCCCAGGTGGTAAATCTTTACAGAAGGAGATTGCCCCATCTTTTTTCTGAGCCACCAGCCTTCTGGTTAGCAATCAGATGCCTTGGGCACTGTGCCACCAGAGCTCCTTTAAAAAGTGTTGTTAGTGTATTATTTTATTAGTGCCAGCAGGTCACCCCATCCTCCCCATAAAAGTGGATTAGCTTTTAGATTGTGTCAGAATGACCTACTATGGCTAAAAACAAATAGTGCCGTAAGGGGAAAAAAATTGCACATGATAGATACTTTTTTGGTAATATTGGTAAACTTACATAAAGGGCCCAATAGTAATTCCCTTTTTTAAAAAAATTAGTATCTTGCATTCCTGTAGTACAGTTGTTAATGTTGAACCAATCTTGATAAATGATTATTAACTAAAGTCCTTAGTTTGCTTTTAGGATTCACTCTTTTGTTGTGCAGTCCTGTGGATTTTGATGATCAGGCAGACTTTATTTTTGGTGGCAATATACACAGTGAACATTCATCCATTCCCAATTTCTACCAGAACAATTCAGAAATACTGGTTACATACATACTTGACAGTATGTTACCATTCACATTATCTCTACCCATATTGTTTCCTCACCATTAATTTAGACTGTCTGCCCCATAAAGTTCTCATTTGTATCTGTATGAGTTCAAATTGACAAGTTAACCCAATAGCAATTCTAAATGGGAAGGGTGTTGTTATTGTTGTTATGTGTAGGTAATAGCAACAGAGATTTGTAGCAGTATTTGATATGAAGTGCCATCTAGTGGTTGGTGGTAAGCATTTCAGTTCCAGTTGTTGTTGTTGTTGTTAAGTGCCGTTGAGTCGTTTCCGACTCATAGCGACCCCATGCACAGCAGAACGAAACACTGCCCTATCCCGCGCCAG